AATAACTAAATATCTAAAATAAAAAAAATATTAAAAATAGATAAATAATTATACAACAAAATATTTAATATTTTGTAATAACTTTGACATAAATAAAAGTCAAATAATGAAACATTTTAAATATGTTATATATTATTTAAATATTTAAATAAGTAGATGCTTTAACTAATGAAATATTTAATATAACTAGATTTTAAATAGTTAAAAAATTAAATTATGTAATAAATTTAAAAAATTTATTAAAACTAGAAAAATAATTATAACATAATATTCAAATTAATAATAATTTAATATTTTTACAAAATTAATACGGAAATAATGTAATAATAGTATAAATTATAATATTCTGGATTATTAAATTCAATAAATAGTTAATATTAAAATTTTAAATAATGATATTATTTAAATAAATAAATAATATTGTAAATAACTAATTTCACATATATCAATTAATAATTTTAGAAAATAACTTTCAAAAAAATTAAACTTTATTACTAATAATTTTAAAATCTTAATCTTTATTTATTATATATTTATATATACTAAAATCAATATTTGTTCTATTTCAAGTAATTATTTATTGTTTTTTGTGATAAATATATTTTCAATAATTATATATAAATCTATTTTTATTTGTTATTTAATAGAAGATTTTCAGTAGTTATTAGAGATTAAGCTTCTGTTATTTAAATTTTTAAGTTTAATTTATTGTGCTTACTGTATTTATTGTATTTTTGTTATAATTTTATGATTAATATTTAATAGAGATAAAACTATTATTTGAGATTACATTATTTATTGACTAATCTAATATATTTTTTAGTATTTATTGTATTTTTATTACCAATATATTTTTAATAGTTTTGTATTTTTGCTATAAATTTTCAAAAATTGTTGGAGATTAAATTATTTTTATCTATTAGAGATTATACTATGAATTTAACTAAAATTAAGAGTGTTCACGGGTTGGTTCGGTTCGGTTGTAAGTTGTTTGGCCAACCAAATCGACCTAGTTAGGTTGGGGAGTTGGTCACCCGAAACTAGGGATGCAAACAGATCGGGTCAGATTCGAATTAGGGTATATCCAAATCTGATTTGATGCTATAAATTGTAGAACCCGGATATGATACCCATTGATTTGAATTTGAATCAGATGAGGAAGTCAAATTTTCAGATCTGATCCGATCTGATTTGATTTTTTAAAATTAATAAAATATAACAATTTAAATAAAGAAAAACAAAAACTACAAGTATCTTTTTAAATATTCTCATCATATATATACATGTTTTTTATTAAAAAGTAAATCATATAAAAAATTTATGAAAATGCAATATAAATATTATATTTATAAATGAATAAATAAGTAACATATCTATGTGTGTCATATATATTTTTATAAATAAATAACATATATCAGATTGAATCTTATTGAATCATATAGGGGCTGAGTGATCTGAATTTGATCCGATTTTTTATGAGATCCTATTATCTGATCCAATCCGAAGATTCGAAATGGGGTTATCCGAATCCAAGAATATAGAATCAGACTTCGGATAGGATCATGATATGATCCATTTGCACCCCTACCCAAAACCAACTTACCATAAGTGAAATCTGCCTAATTCGGGTTGTATCAGTTTGAGTCAATTTCAGTAGTCCATTCAAAAGATTTAAACTTAAAGAATAAATTTAAAAATTAAATTCATGATATAAAATATTTTAGAGTCAGAAATATGGGAATTTTTCTACTTTCCAAAATTAAAATTTATATTAAAATATATATATATATGGTCAGGTCATTCAATTTTGGTTAATTTACAAATGGCCAAAGCGAAACTGATCTAACCTGGTAAAGTTGGAAAATTGTTGAACCAAAGCCAGCCAGAAATACTAGAAAATCGACCAACTCGAGTTAAGTTGATTGGTTTCATCAATCCGATGAAGAGCGCTAGCTGAAATTAATTATTGTTATTTTTTGTGTTGTAAAAAAATATTAATAGTAGTATATAAGGCAAAATATATGATGTGGGAAAGAAATGGTATCGAAAGAGTTTTGACCGATGGAAGTCCACCCTTGAATTTGGATAAATAACACCTATTGGCTACCATGTTTATGATACCAGTTGGTTGGTCAAAAAATTTTCAGATATCATATCTTTTCTATATCATTGTTGAACTCAAAATATAAATGATTATTAATTATTTAAAAATTAAAAAATATAAAACAATTGTATACTGTTATATGTTTCAATTATTTAGCTTTTACTTAAAAAATCACGTGCATCACACAGGTCCCCACTAGTATCTATCTAAAGAAAGTTTGAATTAAAAAAATTAAGATTTATTTAAATATTCTAACGAAATTATTTAATAAACTTAAAATATTTATTAAAAACATAAAAATAATTATAATAGATTTAATAGTATTCATATTATTAATAATTTTATATTTTTACAAAATTCATCAAGAAATTATATATTAACAATATAAATTATGATTTTATGAATTATTCAATTTAAATGTTATTCAAATAGTAAAAAATTAACATTAAAATATAAAATATTATTTAAATATTTCAATAACTAAATATCTTAAATAAAAAAATATTAAAAATTTCTAAATAATTATGTAACCAATTATTTAATATTATGTAATATCTTTAAAATAAATAGAATTTAAATAACGAAAAAATTAAATATTATTAATACATTTAAATAACTAAATAACAAAATATTTAACATAACTAGATTTTAATAGTTAAAATAAAAAAAATTATGTAATGAATTTAAAAAATTTCTGAAAAGGGTAAAATAATTATAACATAATACTGAAATTAATAATGATTTAATATTTTACAAAATTAACAATTATATAAAATATAATTTTACCGATTATTAAATTTTAAATTTTAAATGATGGTATTATTTGAATAATTAGTTTCATTAATATTTACTAATAATAATTCTAAACTCTTAACCTATATTTATTATATAGTTATCTACACTAAAATTAATATTTTAGATATTTCAATAATTATTTATTGTTTTTTGTGTTAAATATATTTTCAATAATTATGTATAATTTTATTTTTTATTTTTTAACTGAAAATTTTCAATAATTATTAGAGATTAAACTACTATTATTGAACTTTTTAAATTTAATTTATTGTATTTATTGTATTTCTGTTATAATTTATTAATAAATATTTATTATTTAAGAAATTAAAAATATAAAACAATTATATGTACTTATGTGTTTGTATTGTTATTCCAATGCATTATACAAAAGGTTCAAAGTATCAGAAATGCCAAGTGTATCGGAAAAGCAATTTTAAGAAATGTATCGAGATACACATGCGTATCGGAGAAAAACTAAGATACTCATAAATATGGTTGGAAACACTACAAATTCTTTAATAAATCATAAAAATACATCAACAACACTAAATATAAGACCTCAATGAGGTGTATATACATTAAATTAATATATTTTATTGGTTTTATGAAGAAATATATTATAGTTAATTATAATTTCATTAAAAATCTTATGCTTAACTATAATTTATAAATTATAATTCTTAAGTTTTAATGTTTTATGAGATGGGAAAAACCTAAATCTCCTATCCAACCATAAAATACGCATTGACACAACTTGTAAGTGAAAAGATAATTAATAATTATTTACTATTTAAATAATAATTATTTATTTTCAAAAAATATAAAAACTAAATAAACATTATATAATATATTCAAAAATAGTTATTAAAGAAGAAATTTCAATTGCTTTGTGGATATGATAGATGATCCATAGAATTATAATATATTTAATCATTGTGATTAAATGATAAAATATAATTAATTATTTATTTTTAATTCTATCAATATAAAAATAAAAAATAATTATTGAAGAAGAAGTTTCAATTAGTGTGTGGATATTATAGATCATCCATAGTGTTATAATATATTCAATTGTTGTGATCAAATGATAAAATATAATTTATTATTATTTATTTGTTTTAATTCTAAAAATATAAAAAATAAAAAATATTAAAGAAGAAATTTCAATTGCTCTATTGATATGATAGATAAATCCATAGATCTAAAACATATTTAGTCTTTATAGTCAGAGAAAAAATTACATTTTCATTTTTTTTTTGTTAATTTATATTTTCCCCAAATATCTTCATGAAATTTCCATAAATCTATCAATAACATAGAAAAATTATGATTTTGAATGTAAGAAATGTAGATTAACATAAATTTATACATTCAAGAAAAAAGAAATTATAAGATATTATAAAAAATTAAAAAAATTCACATATTATTTCAGAATTTGATTTTTTTTTAAATTAACAACTCACACTTGTTTACTTGCAAATTTTTTCAAATCTAGCACTCTATGAATGAGGTTTGGAGTTTTAGAATCATTTGGGGGGGTGGGGGTGAAAGAAGGCTTATTTTAGGGAAAAGAAGCTTACTTTTCCCTTTTATTTTTTTTTCAGTTTTTAGCTGTATTTTTTTTTGTCAATACGCTACTGATACACCTCGATACATCCCCGATACGCTTCTGATACGCTCCTGATACGGGTCCGATATATATAAAAAAAAACAACACACGATTTCCATTTATATCCCAGATCTATTTTTTAAAGAGATACAATACAATACACTCTATATTGGGCATATTATATCGAAATTTTAAACTTTATTATACGATCACTTATGATATACGTTTGTGTAATTGTCAGAAATCAAAGGGAGATTTTTATACTTTACTCCTAATTTTTTCGAATTTTATAATTAATTATTATTACTCTAATAAAACAATAATTTGCTTTAATAAAAAACAAAATAAGAAACAGTAAAAAATGTCGCCTTACTGATGATTTGAATGACAATAATGGAACTCAGTGACGGCAGGAGAAACTATGTGACCGACCCGAGGGAAAAGATTTATATATGAACGAATTATTCGGTTAGTTTCTTAGCTAGCTGTCACTTTCTGTAAACTGATTTAGTTTTACCAATAGAATACAGAGAGAGAAGGTAAGGAGAACCTGAAGAGAAATCAATTGACTCTGACCCGTGATTTGCTTTAATTTCTTTGTTGCTGGTTTGTATTCTCTTTTCTCCCGTCTTAACTTCCTTCTCATGTTTATCCATCCAACCGAGGAAGTTTGCTCAAACTCAATTACTCCTTATAAATCATCCTCACCCATTTTACCACCTCATTTCTTCCGTCTCTCGTCTAGTCGTCCTGCGTCCTCTCCTCTGCTCTTCAATGGCGGTACCTCAGGAACAGACTATACTCGTAACCGGTGGGGCTGGCTTCATAGGCACCCACACCGTCGTCCAGCTTCTTAATAAGGGTTTTAGGGTATCCATCATTGACAATCTTGATAACTCGGTCGAAGAAGCTGTCAACAGGGTTAGATGTTTAGTGGGTCCTGATCTCTCTAAAAAACTTCAATTCCATCTGGTAAAATAATCCGATCATTTTTTTCATGAGTTTCTTTCTGTATGTATGTATTGGGAGATTGGCGTTTTTTCCTTTTCCTTTTCTTTATACGTTTCACAGTTCAAATGATCTGTTTCCGGTGATTGCAGGGTGATCTACGGAATAAGGAGGATTTAGAGAAACTTTTCTCTGAAACCAAGTAAGTGCATTTCAGTCGTTTGAATTCCCAAAACTAAGTTTATATGCTTACCTTTGAATGATACCTGATTATAATGGCATTGGTTTTACCATTGCAAATTGTAATAGATTTGATGCTGTGATTCATTTTGCTGGCCTGAAGGCTGTTGGGGAAAGCGTTCAATATCCTATGCGGTACTTCGATAACAATTTGATCGGCACGTTGAATTTGTACCAAGTCATGACAAAATATGGTTGTAAGAAGGTAAGTTACTGAGTGCTTTCTTTTGGCATTTCCCAAGAGGTATCTACACACAAGCCATTCGCGTTTTTCTTCGTTCCTTGGGCATTTCTGAGTGTTTCATGCCAATTGTTATAGGATATTGAATGTGGAACCGTCGGTGTCCAGTAGTCTGCCAATATATTTCGATTTAATGTCTCTGAGAGAATTGACTTAAAAACAAAGCTTGAGTTAATCGTTTATGCTTCCTGCAGGAAAACTTTATTTCTTATAGTACTTATATGGGTATTCCGTATTCTGTGTTGTTTTCTTCTTGTGAAGAGTTTGATGAACCACTCTTTTGTCAGTTGTATCTTATCTAAATTGAAGTGATTCATACCTCATGCCGTCATGCGAGAATTCTCTTATAAGCCATGACTAAACCGTTTATACTTTCTGCAGGAAAACGTTATTTCTTATATTGTTTTATGGGTATTATGTGTTGTTTTCTTCTTGTGAAGAGTTTGATGAACCACTCTTTTGTCGGTGTTATCTTCTAGTATAGACTGAAGTGATTCATACTTCATATGATGTACATGGTTCTCTCATTTCCTTCTGGCAGCAGTAAGAATAATGAAGAAAAGAAACTCTCCTGGCCAAGACAAAATCTCTTCATGATTGAAGAAGTTAACCGGGATCAACTGATTCTTATTTTTTGAGGGTCTTCCTCGCGCAAAAAACTTGCATGAGGAAAAATGATTTGAGTTCTTCTTTGCAATGTGAGAATCCCTTGGGATCTATGAGATTTTATTGTACTCAACACCTATAACCAGTCTTTGACACCATATGTTGGGCCTAATCCCCTGTTTTGCAAATTTGATATTTTCTAAAGGAGGGAAGCTCCATGTGATGGTACCCAGACTGAGTTGCCGCTCGTAGAGTGCTTATAGTTCTGCCATGTACACTTTGGCACTACGCTTAGCAATAGCAAAGCATAATCGTGCATTTACTTTTGTTTTTCTTCTTCTTTCTCAATAGACAATTGTTAATTGCTTGTACATATTGAGGATTGGTCAAGATGCGTTTAATCCCAGTTATCATATGATGCTTGTAGACCTTATTACTTTGATCTGCTAGAATTATATTTTACCCTAGGAAGTTGCATTTAGATTTTGAATAAAAAGAACTCCAGGAATTAGGACCACTTCAATGAAAAGGGAACATATACCTGATGGATACTATTCAAGACAGCCACCACTTCACTAATTAGAGAGTATTCATGCTCTTAAAAGACAAGATGTTTGCAGTATCTATTCTCAGTTGAGTATAGTTTAAACTTCTGAGTAAAAAAACACTTGGTGGTTATTTATTCCTACTTGACTCTGAGATGAATGGGATGCCAATACTAATTAACAAACTGAAAATTACAGTCAACATGAAAGCATAAGGCTTATAATATATATAGGGGAAAATATAAAATACAGTTCTGTATGGTCTATTGGAATGTTTATCTTCACATAATATTCTTTCATTCTTACAATCTATGAACTTACCATGATTCTCTATTATGTGCAAAGTTTAAGTGTTCAGAAGGAGAGTGATTTGGGTGCATCCAATTTGTGGTAAACATGGTACATCTGTGGTGAAAAGATAGAAACAACTTTTGCTTATGACAAAAGTTAAAACATAGGGTATTTTGTCTATTGATACAATTAGTTTTTGAGTTGATTAATGATGTGCCCTGTTTACCGAAAAAATGGTAATCAATCCCCTTTCTAAAATCAGAGAGAATAAAGTTGGATGTTATAAATATTCATATTTTATGTTATATTTATTTTGGTATTAGAATTATTACACAAATTTATGAGAATCAATTATTATACTAACAGAAACATTTATAATCAATGTACTTAATTTAAAGGGTAAAATATGTTGACCTCAATGATTAGATAGACAAAGTTGTCCTTGAGAAATCAGGAAACAACTAATTACTTGATGCTGCTTTTTCCCCTGAAAACCCAGTTATGATAAAGTTGTTCAGGAACCTTTCTTGGTTTAAGGTACATAGAACAGAACAGGGTACCTCTTTCCAGATCTTTATCATTTGCTTAATGCCTTTACTCTAGTTGATCAATCTCATAGGACTTCTGCTAGTTTACTTTTGATTTCTGCATTCAGTTTCTTTTCCCTTATTGATTAGTGCAGTTTCTTGCTTTTGTCCACTGAAAGATTCTATATGGTTTGGTACAATGTAGATGGTCTTCTCATCATCTGCAACTGTTTATGGCCAACCTGAAAAGATTCCATGTGTTGAAGATTTTAATTTAATGGCTATGAATCCCTATGGGAGGACCAAGGTACACCTCTAGTTTTTTAGTTTTTTCATCTGAGTTCTCTTTTACTCTAGACATATAACAAGTATAGTTTGATTTCCATGATTTTCTTTAAACTTATTGACCTCTTAAATTTTTTGGCTGTATTCGTGTGTTTCTAATCAATTTGACTTCAATCTTTTTTCAACACACTAGCTTTTTCTTGAAGAAATTGCCCGAGATATTCAAAAGGCAGAGCCAGACTGGAGAATTATCTTACTAAGGTACTTTAATCCTGTTGGAGCTCATGAGAGTGGCAAACTTGGTGAAGATCCCAAGGGAATCCCAAATAACCTAATGCCTTATATCCAACAAGTAGCTGTAGGCAGATTGCCAGTGCTGAATGTGTATGGCCATGATTATCCTACAAAGGATGGCAGTGCAGTATGTGAATTTTTTATACCTTAAATTTCAGTTTAACCTCTCTTTCTCTCTCTCTCTCTCTCTCTCTCTCTCTCTCTCTCTCTCTGTTCTCTTCATGGTGCTAATAAATCCCATGGTAAACAGGTTAGAGATTACATTCATGTTATGGATTTAGCTGATGGTCACATAGCAGCCCTTCAGAAGCTTCTCACAACTGATAATATAGGTACATTTCCTATGTGTAATTTTACCAATTAAACTTTCATGTATTTTTTTGTGATCTATTACACTTCCATATAATTTTGCGAGCACTGTTCCATTATTAGTGAAGGAAATAACAGTAAATTTCTAAAAATATTTATATTTTTCTGTCATCAATACTTATATATATTATGCATTCTTTTGCTCATGAGTTTCTAATGGACATCCTGTTTTAGGTTGTGTTGCATACAACTTGGGAACTGGGTGTGGTACGTCTGTGCTTGAAATGGTAGCGGCATTTGAGAAGGCATCTGGCAAGGTGAATTGTAATAGTTTATAGATCACAAACCAAAACAGTCGAAATTTAAACTAAATACTAATGAATGTTGTGCTTATTTAATTACTCCCAGAAAATCCCATTCAAACTATGTCCACGGCGGCCAGGAGATGCTACTGCAGTTTATGCTTCTACCGAGAAGGCCGAAAAGGAACTTGGTTGGAAGTAAGTTTGTAAATCTATATATCCATATTCACGTGAATTCAGTTTTTATCATTCAAATAGTAGCTGCAAAATGGAAAATATTTGGAAACATGGCTATGGAATTGTTGACTCCACCCTATGAGATTTTGTACCTTAAAATTGATCTGATATTTTGACTTCGTTTCTGATGCTTCTATCAATGCTTATTCGTCACTGAAAAGAGGGATTGCAATAGTTTCCCATTTCTGTTATTAGTGGTTCCTTAAATTTTGGTATAACATCTATAACTCCTCTCTCACCAGACCACTTAAATACGGATTTATTTGTATTTTGACTTCTCCACAGGGCAAAGTACGGAATAGAAGAAATGTGTAGAGATCAATGGAACTGGGCAAGCAATAATCCTTGGGGTTACCAATCCAAACCGTGAATGGCATGAATAAGGAATGCCGCTTGTATTTACCTGGCTTCTCCTATTTAATTGAACTTGATAAGCAAATACTATAAAAATATTTTGATGGTTCAATTTATGGGATCACATTCACTGTCCCCTTGAAAAATTGAACTTATTAATAGTTTTTCTTTTTATCCTTTCAATATTTTAGTATGTGCTTTATAATTTTGATTATTGTAATGATGCAATTTAAGGCATAATTACATTAAAATAACAGAGAAAGTCCGCAGGGGATGAACCATGGCAGTGGAAGTTTGAGTAAGTAGTTCCATGATATGGTTAATTTTTATTATCTTTTAATCATGCTCAGCTTTGAAGATTTTGGTATCAAATGCTACAGGAAAGGAATAGCTTTAGTTCACATTTTTTATTTGTATTTCTTCTTCTAATTTTAATTTTTTTATTTATACTTTGGACCCAAGTTGATTTATGATCAAAAGCAATGTTGTCAACCCGCCATTGATCTGGTCGGTTGAACTGTTCCAACCATCACTCAAGTCAGGATTCTGGTCCAGTTCAGTCAAGACTCAAGACCTGTTAGACGGTCAAAACCCATTGATTTGGTCAAGAACCATTCTAGCCAATTTAACCATTGACCCATTCAACCTGGTGATTAAGTCGTGGGTTGCACATTGAATATATGCAAACTTTCAGAGGCCAAAACTTTACACTCTGATATCCGATTGGGGTGAATTTTTTTTTTTAAATTTTGGATAACGTTTCAAGATCTATGCAACCCAAGGAGCTGTAGGCACTAGGAATGTCAACAGGTCGGGTTTGGCACAGGTTTGCCTTAACCCTAACTGGACCCTCCAGCACCCCTACCCGAAACCAACCCAATTCGGCTAAAAAATACATGATTCCCAGACCTGACCCTATAGGTTTAAGGGATCAAATCCCACTGCCACCAGGGGTTTGGGGGGGGGGGGAGTTAAGGGAAAGGGGTTGGGCTACCCCCTATTGTGTAGCCCCATGAAGCCAAAAAAAAAGTAAGGAAATTGTTTTATAGATTCTAAGGTGTTATTTTTCCATTTAAAAAAAATGAAGAAAATCATAATCAATGTATAAAAAAATTATAAACTTTAAGCCTATAAAGTTAGAAGTCAAAAAATTGTAAGAATACATGGTATATATGCAGGGTATCATGACCTAGCGGGGCGGGTCAGCCAAAACCTGAACTTGACTTGGGTCAAAGAATGAAAACCCTAACCCGACCTTAAACTAAATATACTTTGCCCTAACCTAATCCTATAGGGTTGGGTCAAGCCAGGTTTACTATTTAACCTGACCCATTAACATCCTTAATAGGCGCCTTGCTATGCTATTTTCACGAAAAACCCCCCTTTTGGCCTAAATTGTAATTTTTAATATTTTTTTATAAATAAAAAATTAAAAAACATATATTAAATATAAAATAATACATATAACATATGTATACATTATTTATTACTAAAATATATATTTATACACATAAACACACACACACACACACACATATATATATATATGTATATATATGCTGACATGGCACGGTCTGAACCATTCGACCTCTAGGTCGATTTTTAAAACATTGATCAAAAGAACTCTTTTATAAGATATTTTGGTGTTATGTGCTATTGAGTAATAGCTCACATCAGCCATATAGAAATGAAATTCGTTTCTTTAAAAGCAACATTTTGTTGGTATTAAGGAACCAAGCAAAAAATATTTTAAATAGTTTATGGTTTTTTTACTGATGTAACATTTTCTGAAAAGAAGAAAACAAAAAACATACATGTTAGGAGATTATCAAAAACTAATGAATAACCATTCATATTAAGAGGTATTTGTTAACAAAATCATTATGAACTTTTAGGCTGTGTTTGGTTTGAAGGAAAAAGTAGAGAAACGTAGGAACCTGTACAAACCATGTATAAGTTTCCCTACCTTTTCCTTCAAACCAAACATAATGTTAAAGGAGACTTATTATTTATGAAATTTAAAATAATTTCCATTTAAAACTAGAAATATAAAAGATTGCAATTCAAAACTGTAAAAATATAAATGTGCTATTTATGAAAGATATTATTTCAAGATTGAAATCCTTATATTCGTAGTTTTAATAATTATCCTTGTTCCACTTGTGGTCAACTTGAGGCTCTTCGGTTGAAAGTGAGAGTAAGGCTGTTTGTTTGGTTATAGTGCAATTTTATTGTATTAGTACAAATGCAGGGGAGTGCAAATGAAAAAAATGCATATTCTTTTTTAATTTTGTTTTGAGTTTTATTTTTGATGTAGGGTGATTTGGCCCGACCTCGTAGTACAGGGACACGTGGACATGACTTGGCATAAGTGGTAACTCAGCATGACAGCTTAGCCACAACTCGGCGTAGCAAGCTCGCCGAAGCCCGGCCGAATGACTCGGCGGGTGTGACAACTCGTCGGGAAGCAAGGCCCAGCTCACCCCTGTGGAGGTCGGCACCTGGCCTAGCGTGGTAAGGCTCAACCATGAGTTCCTGGTGGTCGCGACTCCCTCCCCGTACAATGCAATAGTAGGTCGGCCCATCACCCACGCCTTACAAGCAGTAGTCTCCACCTACTACTTGGCGATGAAGTTCCCTACATTCGGAGTCGAGGTGACGCGAGGCGATCAGCTTGAGTCCCACAAGTGCTATGTAGTCGCCCTCAAAGGGAAAGCCAAGGTAGTAGACGACCTCGAGCTAGAACGACCCGTGGAGCAGTTCGCGGAACGAGCCGCACCCATCGAAGAGACCATCCCCATCCCGGCTTCGACAGAGGACCCAGCTCGGGTACTTCAAATCGGCGCTTCTATTGAGGAACCTCTGCAGTCTCAACTGATAAGTTTCTTACTCGGAAATTTAGATATTTTTTTATGGTCCGTGGCAGAAATGCCTGCATAAACCTCGACATCATAACTCATAAGCTCAATACTGATCCTGTAGTTAGGCCCGTTAGACAGAAGAAACGCAACCTAGCCCCAGAGAGATGGAGGGCAGTCGACGAGGAGGTCGGGAAGCTCCTTGCGGCCAATTTTATCAGGGAAGTCCATTGCCCGAGCTGGGTGGCCAACCCCGTTCTGGTGAAAAAGGCTAACGGTAAATGGCGCATGTGCGTCGACTACACCGAGCTGAACCGAGCTTGCCAAAATGACTGTTTCCCACTTCCCAAGATCGACCGTCTAATGGATGCGACCTTGGGGCATGAGTTGCTGAGCTTCCTGGATGCCTATTCGGGCTACAATCAGATCAGGATGGACTCAGTTGATGAAGAGAAAACTGCCTTCATAACTGAGCTCGGCCTATACTGTTACAAGGTCATGCCCTTCGGGTTGAAAAACGTCGAGGCCACTTTTCAAAGACTTGTAAATAAACTGTTTGAGCCACTAATTGGCAAAAAAGTAGAGTGTTATGTAGACGACATGGTTGTCAAAACCCAATTTTTACATGATTTAATACAAGATTTATATTCAGATTTTGAAATTCTGCGTAGATTTAATATGAAATTAAATCCGAACAAGTGTGTCTTCGGTGTCACCTTGGGTAAATTCTTAGGGTACATCGTTAACTGGCGGCATTAAGGCTAACCCGAACAAAATTAAAGCCATCCTAGAAATGAGACCACCCCGGAAATTGAAGGAGGTTCAGAAGTTGAGCGGCCGGCTAGCCGCTCTGAACCGCTTCATGTCCAAATCAGCAGATTGCTGCCTGCCCTTCTTTAAGGCCATAAAAAGCAAAGGCTTTGAATGGACCAAAGGGTGCCACCTCGCGTTCGACGAGCTCAAAAAGCACCTTGCTAGCATCCCAGTCTTAACCCGACCCGAAGAGGGTGATGTTTTAGAGCTATACCTCTCGGCAAGTGACGAGGTGGTCAGCTCAGGACTAATAAGAGAAGTAGATCGGGTCCAACGACCCGTTTATTATGCTAGTAAAGTGTTGCAGGGAGCAGAGACAAGCTACCCAGAAATAGAAAAGTTAGCCTATGCACTAGTCATAGCAGCCCGGAAGCTCCGCCCGTACTTCCAAGCTCACACCATCGTTGTCCTTACCAACAAACCTCTGAGGCAAGCTTGCTCAAGCCCGAGGTCTCGGGAAGGTTGACAAAGTGAGCCATCGAGCTCAGCGAGTACGAACTCCAATACAATCCGCGAACTGCTATCAAGGCCCAAGCCTTAGCGGATTACATCACAGAATGCACCTTTAGCTCCGAAGTCCCCAGGTCGGTGGAACATGAGGCCCCCAGTGCGGGCGAGCCCGGGGTTCCCAGGCCGGTTGAGCTTGAGCGCCATGAAGTAGCAACCAGCGCGACATCTCTCCTAGTTAGGCCAAGCGCGAACTGGGACGAGGAGCCTTGGATCCTTCACATAGATGGCTCGTCAAACCAGTAGGGCAGCGGGGCTGGGATCGTTCTGTACGGGCCTAGCAATGTGAAATTGGAGTATGCACTGCGCTTTGAGTTCGCGACATCCAACAACGAAGCAGAGTACGAGGCGCTACTAGCCGGTCTGGATCTGGCAAAGGAAGTAAAAGCCAAGCACATTGTCGTTTGCAGTGATTCCTAGCTCGTGGTCAACCAAGTTACGGGTGAGTACGAAGCTCGCGAACCAACCATGATAGCTTAGCCAAAGTAAGAGAGCCCCTGCTCAAGTTCCAGTCATACTTCATTCGGAAAATCCCAAGATTAGAGAACGTTGAGGCCGATGTCCTATCCCGGTTAGCCAGCACTAGCAATAACACCATGAGAACTATGTATATAGAGAACTTGCCTCGACCTAGCATTCTCAGGGGGGCAGAGGAGGTCGCTCCCGTCGTTCAAGCAAAGCCGAGCTGGATTGATCCGCTCGCGAGCTTCCTGCTACACGGGACCCTCCCCGTATATCGTAATCCTGCCAGGAGGGTAGAGCGTTAGGCAGCCAAGTACGTCATGATAGACGAACGGCTGTACCGAAGACACACTTGTTCGCGATACTCATCCTCCGCGATACTCATGAGGACCTATGCGGTGGACACTTGGGGGGCAGGGCCCTTGCTCAGAAAGCACTACGACAGGGGTATTACTGGCCAACGATGAAGGCAGACGCGATCGAGCTCGTCAAAAAATGCGACAAGTGTCAGAAGCACGCCAACATCCACCATCGGCCTGTCGTCGACCTAAAATACCTCACTAGGCTGTGGCCATTTGCACAATGGGGGATCGACTTACTCAGGCCATTACCACCAGCAACAGGGCAAAGAAGGTTCCTAGTGGTGGCAGTCGACTATTTCACGAAGTGGGTCGAGGTTGAACCCCTCGCAACAATCACAACCCGGAATGTGCAGAACTTCTTTTGGAAGAACATAGTGTGTCATTTCGAACTACCTCGGGTACTGATCTCCGACAATGATAAGCAGTTCGAAGACATCAAATTCCAAAACTGGTGCCAAGACATGGGAATTCAGCAGAACTTCACCTTAGTGGCGCACCCTCAGGCAAACGGTCAGGCGGAAGTCACGAACAGAGCTATTCTCCACTGACTAAAGGCATGCCTGGACCGAGCTAAGGGATTATGGGCAGATGATCTTTCTAGCGTATTATGGGCTTATCGTACCACGGAAAAGACCGCTACAGGAGAAACCCCCTTTAACCTCACCTACAAGGCAAATGAAGATGAGCTACGTACCAACCTCGACTTACTTGAGAAAGTACGGGACCTCGCATACATCAGGACCGCGGCCTACAAGCAAAGGGTAGCTCGGTACTATAACACTAGGGTCAAAAAGTGGACTCTCCGCGTTGGCGACCTGGTTCTCCGTAAGGTTATGGTGCCCGAGCCCGGTGTTGGTAAGCTCAGTCCGAACTGGGAAGGACCCTACTGAGTAAAGCGAGTACTCGGGGAAGGAACATAGGAGCTCGAAACCCTAGAAGGGAAACAAGTACCTCGGGCATGGAATATTGTCAACCTAAGGCAGTATTACCTATAAATAACTGAGTAGACCACGAGTCACTCTCAGAGCCTAAGGGCCAAAATGCCGAGCTAACAAAGACCTCGACGTAATAAGACTCAGTCGCCTCTATGCCATGGGCAAACTCCAAGAGCAGACCACGAGTCACTTTCAGAGCTTAGGGGCCAAAATGCCGAACTAACGGACTCCGGCGTAAGGGCCAAAATGCCAAACTAACAGACTCCGGCGTAATGACCTAGTCGCCTCTATGACATGAATGAACTCTGAGGGTGGCTAAAGCCACTCCCCCCCGACCAAGGGGCTAAAATACCGAGCTGACCAAGGAGCTCGGCACCATAGTACATAATGTGTCAAGGGTGTAAGTAGACTGGTAGATTCTGCGGCGCTTAGCTCACCTCGGCATACAACCAGAAGACAGTTCGGGCATATGCCTTACTATGTCAATCACTTCGGTGTACGTCACAAGATCCACCCCCGTGAGGTACTAGGAGAGCTCGGGGCGGCAACGGTTGAGAAACCCTACTTCATACACTTTACTACGATAGCTCGGACAAAACAGATGCTTTAATAAGTACCGTCACTTGGCAAAGAAAAAGTTGATTTCATTAACAAATAAGTTCTGTACAATGAGCTTGACAAAAAAAAGGGGAAAAGGAAAAAGAAACTAAAACTGAGCTCGCAGGCTGGGAGTACAAAAAACAATTACTTCGGGGGCTCGTCATCTCCACACGGGACCTCCTCAGAAGCTTCATGCCGATCGGTGACATCTGCTTCTTCGTCACCGTCCTCCTCCTCAGAATCCGGATCTTCTGTGGCTTGACGAGCTATCTCATCCGTGATTCGTGAGGTGGTGACGACGCTCGTGTCAAGCTCGGGGTATGTATGCCTTATCAGCCACCTGCCGAGCTTGAACCCCTTATAGTAGGCTTCCCCCAAAACGGCATCGAACTTGTTCGATTGGATGTACTCCGCGACAGCCTTGATCTTTGTCTCCTTTATGGCTTGAGTAAAGATCTCGGTCTTCTCCTCAATGTCAGCCTTGAGGAACTCCACCTCGTGCAGAAGGGCCTTTTTATTCTCCTTAAGGCCATCTGCCTCTGCCTCGAGGGCGTCCAGCTCGCCCCTCAGCATTTCCTTCTCACGTGCCAGCTCTGCTTTGAGGGCCTCCACCTTGCCCCTCAGCGCGTCCTTCTTGCGTGCTATCTCGTCCTTCTCCGCCATCAATGTCGTGATGACATTCTTCTAGGCCACGGCGTCGCTCTCCTGCTGGTGGATTTGGCCGCGAGCTGTCCTCAGATCAGCATGGGCTGCGCGGGGCGACTCCTCGGCGTTCAGAGCCCGCTTCAGGTTCCTCTCGGACTGAAGAGTCAGGGCATGCACGGCGGAGTTCGCCTGACGAAGAAAGTTGGTTAGCACCGAAGAGATGTATATATATATATATACTGGGGGACCAAGATACTTCGGGCTCCATTTGGGCTTCCCCAACTGAAAACCACTATCTCGGCTGTGCGGATGGGCTCGGCAGAGGCCTCAACTGCTATGTCGGCAGACTCGATGACGATCTTAGGCTCAGTTGCTGCCTTCGTAGTAGGCTCAGCCGAGGTCTCGGGCTCCTGAGGTGGTACGGACTCCTCCAAGTCGATGATCAGAGGAGCGTCAGGGAGCTTGGGCTCAGAAGAGGGAGCCGGCAGAAGCTTGGGCTCGGGAGTGGGGGCCGGCGGTGACTCAACGCGAGCTCTCTTAGCAGCCTGCTTCTTCCTCCCCTTCATATTGTTGAAGAGCTTATCCCCCTTGAGCTTATCCGCTTCCATGGGACTTGCAACAGAGCTCGGCATTAGTACTCAAGTAGAAGAAAAAGGAGAAGGTGCAAGCCAAGTGACTATGGTACTAAGACTACCTACCGGGGCTCAAGCCGGCTTGAATGAGCTTACTCTCGGTGATGTAATCCTTGTAACTAAACCTGACCTCAGCCCACGACTGGAGCGTCTCCCTTATCTTCTTGTCAAGGATGATGTCGGGGTCTTGGATAGCCGCCCTCCATTGAGTAAGGAAGGGCCACCCTGCGGGGTTCTGGACTACGAAGTAGTCCTGCTTCCAAGTTGGGATCTTGCTCGAAAGCTTGTGCAGCAACTTGAAGCCCGGGCGAGGGAACAAGTAATAGGCCCTCATGTGCTCGGAGAGAATGCATGAAGCGCTCTTCTTTACGGTGAGAATGGAACAGAATATGTCCAAGTTCAGGGGGAGGACGTACTCATAGCAAAGGGAGATGGTCCCGACCACGTTACGAACCGAGTTCGGGTGGAGCTAGTCTATTGTAACGTTGAAGTGATTCAGGACCTCCACAATAAGTGGATGGAAAGGAAGACGGAGCCCGGCTATGAGCTGCTCCCGGAAGATCATGACCTCATCAGGGCCGTGTTCCCATGGGAAGTTACTCGCAGGTAGACTGTAGATGTACTCCCTGGGCAGGTTGTACTGCCGGATGAGGTAGCGGAGCCTCTCCAGGGTCATGGTGGAGGGTCTGAACCTGTCCGGCATCCGACCTCGGTGTGAGGTGGATGCCAAGTTACCCGAGGCCTCCCGTGCCTCGAGAGACTGGACTCCAGCGGGGTCACCCTAAGCTGAGGTACCCACCTCGGGCTCATCTAATTGGCTATCAAAACTAGACATAATGAAATTGAAGGAAAAGAAGCTAGGGTGGCTCACCAAAGGAAGATGACCGAACTGGGAAGAACTGACCCAAGTTGGAGGCTTTGGACGCGAGCTCAAGACTAAGGCTGAGGATTTGTGGCGAAGGAAAATGGCGAGGACTCCTGCTATTTATAGCTGTTGTACGCGGGCATCAACGGTTGAGATCGAAACGATTTGACAGTCCTCATGAAAACTGGTTGTGTGACCCCTGAGGCGAAATCAGTTAGCGCGTTTTTGGCATCTGCAGAGGTCATAAGTCGCGTGACGTCCGCGCGTAGACCATACGTGACCCGGGCTGTGCCTGGTTGAGCCAAGTAGAGAACCGGTCCAACCAATGAGCTGGCAGACAAGAAGGCTTAAGCCCCGAGCCAAATTCACCGGATAGACCGCGGACTCCCCGCACTAGGTCAAAACACGCAACACGGGGAGTGGGGAGCAATTGATGTATGGTGATTTGGCCCGACCTCGTAGCACAGGGACATGTGGACATGACCTAGCATAAGTGGCAACTCAGCATGACAGCTTAGCCACAACTCGGCGTAGCAAGCTCGCCGAAGCCCGGCCGAACGACTCGGCGGGTGTGACAACTCGCCGGGAAGCAAGGCCCAGCTCACCCCAAGCCCTAAGGGTGGAGCACCCCGAGCTCCTTCCGTGCAAAGGGACCCGAGCTACCCTTGAGACCCGAGCTCCTCCTAAGAGGTTCCGAGCTCTTCCTTCCTAAGAAGGGAGCACCCCGACTTGAAGTATGGACAGCCTTCAAGATGAGCTCCACATGAACAGCCTTAAGCTGTGTGGTAAAAAAAATGGAAAAGTACAGACAGACCTAATGCAGATTTTTGATTTTCACTGCAGAACTATACATTCAAAATGTCAAAAACCCCCACTTTATACACCAATACCCACCCGTAAATTGACATCAATTCCGAATTGACACCCAACCCAACTGTACTTTGAGCTTAAAAATTCTGACCCTGCGCTGAACCGCCATTCTTCCTAAAAAAATCCTGAGTCCAAATTGGTTGTCCACCAGTCATTTGAAGGGCTATCCTTCCGCCTAGTCAAACTCTGATTTGAACATCTAAGGGTAAAAAGACAACAGAGTACAGAACACAAAAGGCATGATACCAAGCTTGTTGAACACATTTGACTCTAAAGTTTGGTTCGTTAGACTTATCACATTAGTTACTTATGGTCGCCTGTAAGGTTCTTTCACTAGCCAAATTTACTCGAGCTTATTAATCAAATTTACTCGGGTTCAACTATGAACTATGATATGGAAAAGATATGATATCTGAAAAAGTTAATTGGAATCATAAAAGTGGTAGTCAGGTACCAGTTAATTGGAATCATAAAAGTAGTAGCCAATCAGGTGTTATTTATCAAAATTCGTAAGTGGATTTTGATTGGTCAAAACTCTTCCCATACCATATCTTTTCCACATCATAGATTTTCCCATTGATATCAGTACAAAAGCTACTTGTCTGTAAAACACCCTGTGTTTGGTTTGAAAGCAAAGGAAGGGTCCCTACTCCCTACCTTTTTCGTTCAAACCAAACACAGTATAAATGTGTATAAGAATGAGCACTCAACTACCTAGGGAGATTTCATTTAAAACATGTGTCTCTTCGAACTCTGTCGTAATATATACATACACGGTGTACTCGCAAAATATAAAATTAAGACCTAGACACAATGCTGTTCTTCGTTTTTTTTTTTTTTTTGATAGATGGACAGTACATAATGTTCTTTGGATTGGGATCGAGAGGAAGTTCCGTGATTATCTCCTGGCGTAATGTAATAGTGGCTTTTACTGTGCTGTGGAGGTTCCTTCCTACTTTTCTTCTGCTTCAGGCACTAAGTGACATGGAAATGATTGATGAAAGCTTGAATTTCCGAACCTTGTTGGAATTCTGCGGCTGAAATAGAACTTCGGTATTTGATCTTACTGTTACCTCCTTCCACTCAGACACTGAAGCACCGTCATTTCTAAAATCGCGAGGGGAGTACAATACCTGAAGTTTTGAATGAGCTGCATTGGATTGAAAGTGAGTAAGAAATGCTAAAAAGCTCTCTAATGACACAATGAGGAACAGGACAAATCAGTACAATATGGAGCTGCTTTTATGGAAAGAACACTAGTTGCATGTTAATGAACAAACCTAAAATATCCTTGTTACATACTATTCAACCTATTTATGATCTTGTGAGAGCATAAAATTACTATTGCTTCATCGGTTTATCCATCAGGTGTTATTTATCAAAATTCATAGGTGGATTTTGATTGGTCAAAACTCTTCCCATACCATATCAATGCATCTTTTTGAGAGAAAGAGAAATGGTGATTTCTCAAGAGTAATAGACAAAATGTTTAAAGAAAGTTTATACGAAAAAGCAAATATTATGGAATAAATATGCCACCATACATTATGCCCCTCTCCCCCTGGATTTTGCTACCCACCTTCCTGTTTGTTCTTTGTAAGTTGTCTACACCCAACAAAAAGGTCACATTCATTGACAGTGCAAGAATCCAGATTTTTAACAATATTGAAATAAATTATCCCCTTTTTCTTGCCCCAATTCTAGACATTGCAATATTAGCTATTTCTTATCCCTGCTTTGTTAGAATTAAAATGCCAATCTCCTAATATGATCACAGAACAACCCATCAGTCATAGGTGACTCCAGGAATGCAATTGGGTGGCAAAAAACATTGGGACTGGTCCTTGGAGGCTTGCACACTACTCTGTGAATCTATGATCTGTCAGCTTCTTTAAATTGCATTTATAGATGGATCCCCAGAGAATTAAACCAATCTGCAGACTTCTAGCCAAATCTGGTTTGGGCATGGATTGCTTGTATAATGCAAATATATTACCTACATCTTGACAGGGCTATTTTTTTCCGTGCTTTTTGTGCATCTTCTCATCATGTACATCCCTCTTTTTTTTTTATTGAATGAAAGTAACCCTTTTCTCAAAAGAAATAAAAAAGTTTCCGATAGGAAGTATCAAGGCACTTTTACTTTCTTTCCCAGCAACAGTAAGAAGTATTAAATACAACTAAGCCTTGTCCCATCTAGATGGAGTTGGTCACATGAATCCTATTCTGCCATTCCGCTCTGTTTAGTGCCACATCCATTGTTAACCCATAGAGAAAATCCATTGTTAAATGAAGGGCCTTTGAATCATTTCTCACTACTTCAACCATGTTCTTCAACTTGTAACAAATCACATCTTCATATTGGTGCCATAGATGGTCTTCTCCACATGTGACTAAACCATCTTAAGTTTACTTCATTTTATTACCTATTGATCCGCCCCTAGGTTGCCAAGGCAAAGGCTGGGGTCCTATGCAAAATGTAGAAAAAGAGCCCTCAATTCAGCCAGAAAATCCCCAGAATAGCTCACTCCTTGATAACTCTTTTGGAAGAAGTCTATTATCTTTTGAATTAGGCAACCTGAGAATCAAATAGGACGAATCAACCTTAACAAATAGCAGAGAGAGAAAAAGGATCCCTGACCTAATATCACCCATCCATCCCATAACCAAGAACCTCCCTATACAGAAGTCCTATGAGATGTCATAGAGACTGATTACATGGATCCCTGAATAAGGGATAATAATTTGGCTCTCTTCAAGCCACCTTAGCTAATTGGACCAAAACTTGCAAGAATATCATTCCACCAGTACTTTTGAATACAAACTTGTTGTAATTATGTTACTATCAGTGTTTTAAAAGCGTAGGAAGCATGCCTCCAGGTGAGGTGCCCCCAAAACGCCCTGAGGCATATGCCAGAGACACTTACGCCTCTGAGGCATATGCCTCGTACGCTTTTTTCATGAGGCATGCTAGAGCGTATGCCTCATGTGCCTCATGCACACTTCATGTAAAAAGACCAAAAAAAGTAAAGGAAAAGAAAGGGACAGGAAAGGAAAAAAAAAAAGAGAAAAAGAAAGAAAAGGGAAGGGAAGGGAAGGAAAGATAAGGGGAAAGAAAGTGGGCCGGGGGCTAAGCCCCCCCAGAACMCCCCCCCCCCCTTTCAACTAGTGCTATGCATCTTCTTTCTTCTTAATATAAAATATTTTTATTAAAAATAAAGAAAAATGAGATTCTTCTTCCTCCTCCCTTTTCCTCCTTTTAAGGAGGTTTACACTCCTTGTGTTGGGAGGCTTACGCCTCTTACGTTCTGAACTACATGCCTCATGCCGTGGAAGCCTCCCCTCCGCATTTTAAAACATTGGTACTATGTAGCTATAGGGGCTTTTTTGTCTTTTCTTCTCTTTTTTCTTTATTTTATTGTAAAGCTGTCACCCTAAGTATAAATAATCTGAGGCACCGCCAGCTCATTCTTTTTGGTGACTTTTCAATTCTCTTCTCTTCTTTCTTCTTCATCTCCTCTTCTCCCTCTTCTCCTTTCTTCTTGGTTTTCATGATATCAGAGCAGGGATCTGGGCGCTAAATACATTCAGATTGTGGTTTCTCACCTGAAACTTACCTGTTTTTTTAGTGCCTGAAACTTACCTGTTTTTTTTAGTGCCTGAAACTTACCTGTTTTGATTGGAAAAAAGGAAAATCTCAATCGGACTGATCTAGACTTCCTTTTTTCCCTTTTTTTCTTCTCTCTTGGACACTGTACCAAGAAAAGGTACCTGTGGTACTTGTGGTGACAGTCAAATGCAGTGATCAGCCTTCTTGAAGCGTGTACCTTCCTTTTTTGGACTGTGGATCGTGGGGATCCTTCTCTACTCCAGGTATTGTGGATGCTTTTGTTGGAAAGGAATACAGCCGCAGACAGCAGCAGTAATGGGCGTTAGAYTCAGTGTTCCTATCTTATCTTATCTCTTAGCTAGATTCAGTGTTCCTATCTTATCTCTTAGCTAGATTCAGTGTTCTTATCTTATCTCTTAGCTAAATTCAGTAATCCTAT